CTTCTCCTCCATTCTCCTCTCAGGATCTTGGGCACACATGCACATGCGCCCGGCGTGAGTTTAAGCCACCAGATCCGGGACTCAAACTACGGTCAACTACATGGGAGTCCAGCGACATAGCCATTACGCTAACTGCTCATCCCATGACTTACTTTTTCCAAAAGTGTTTTCTTTCCTTTTTAAAAAGAATTATTTATTTGTTGTTATTATTCTTCAATTTGACCAGAGAGATACAGATAGAGAGTTAGAGAGAGAGAGAGTTTGAAAGCAAACTGCCAGGTTCCAGACTCAAACTGTGGTCGGCCTTGTGGGAGTCCATGCCCCACCCACCACGCCACCTGCTGGCCCCCACGTGTTATTGTTTTCTTTCAAGTCTTGGGTCCCCTTATCGCTGGATGCTTTCACTGATGGGAAGGCCAGTAAAACCTTCAGCCAGGAGATGATTGGCCTGCCAGGGCCAGGGTGGGCACTTGGAACCTGGGGCCTCAGCCTCAGAGACTTCCTTTCCTGTGTCTGTTGGCTCCAGAGCCTTAAAGGAGTCATGGTGTCCTGCTTGTCCCCGTCCCCTCTGCCCTCCCACCGTTGCTGTGCTCTGCCCTCACTGCACCCGTGGCCTCTGCTGCAGGGATCGAGGCAGGTCCTGTGGTCCTGAAGCATCCGGGCTCCGAAGCTGAGATCCAGCCGCAGACCCAGGTCACACTTCGCTGTCACATTGATGGGCACCCCCGGTAAGGAGCCGAGGAAGGAGGGGATGGTCAGGACTGTTCTGGACAGGTAGACTGTCTCCCCCCAAGTCCTTGACTGAGCAGCGGTGCCTCGATTCATTCTGGAGCCCTCTCCCCAAACGCTGCCCCATAGCCCGGGAGACCTGAGGAGGGCCGGCACGTGTGTGGACTGAAGCCTGGGTTTGGAGAGCCGAGAGAGCAGATCTAGAATCTCAGTCTGATTCTGCCCCTGAGTTGCTGAATGCCCTTCTGCAAGTCACTACTCCTCAGACCTCAGTTCCCTGGTTTTAAACCGAGGGGTCTGGCCTGGCCCTCTGACTGTCCTCTCCACGGGCCACTAAGTACCCTCTCCTCCACGCTGACCCTTCTGCCCTGCAGGCCCACCTACCAGTGGTTCCGAGATGGTACCCCTCTCTCTGATGGTCAAAGCAACCACACGGTGAGCAGCAAGGAGCGGAACCTGACCCTGCGGCCTGCCAGTCCCGAGCACAGTGGCCTCTACTCCTGCTGCGCCCACAACGCCTTCGGCCAGGCCTGCAGCAGCCAGAACTTCACGCTGAGCATTGCTGGTGAGCCTGGGGAGGGGTGGAGGGAGAGGGGGCGGAGGGGGAGGCGTGGAGATGGGAGGGGCCTCCCCCCGCCATCTCACCCCATGCCTCACCCTGCCCCAGATGAAAGCTTCGCCAGGGTGGTGCTGGCACCCCAGGACGTGGTAGTGGCAAGGAATGAGGAAGCCATGTTCCACTGCCAGTTCTCGGCCCAGCCACCCCCAAGCCTGCAGTGGGTCTTTGAGGACGAGACTCCCATCACTAACCGCAGTCGGTAAGGCATAAGGCTGGGAGCCTTCAGGTACTGTGGTACAGGTTGTGTACAGCGCACAGGAGTTCTCCAGAAGGGCTATGGTTCGAATCCTGGACACCTTGGGTTTGCTTATGTATTACCTCACGCTTCCAGCAGGTGGCAGTAGAATGCTTCGCTGTTACTCAATGAGTCCAGCAAAGGGAAGGGTCTCTTGGAAGCACATCTTTTTCTAATTTGCACAAAGGCACCCAGGGAGCTGGCAGAGGCTCTGCTCTTCTCCCTCCTCCCCGCTTTCTCACATGGGTCTTGTGAGATGGGATAGAGATCCGGGCATGGGAGGGTTCGTATCTGGCCACAGTCTGGTTAGCAGGCACAGGATGGCAGAGGCAGCTAACACACACGCATACACACACACACTTTTTTGAAAGAAAGCTTACATTTGCAGAGGTGTTGGAGAAGTCCCCTGTTGGGCTTCTGTCTGCCCAAGCCCTAGGGGAGCAAAGCCCCTGTGCAGTATTGGGCATGACGATCGGTCCTGGGGAAGGTGGCTTCCAGGCTAGGGGCTTGGGTTCAGCCCTGAGGACACTGTCAGTGGGTCATCTGATGTGGCCGAGGGGCTCCTGACCCTGGAATTGGGCGCCTCACCAGCTGGGCCCTGCTGAAAGTGACCCCAATGTCCTTACAGCTGTATGCTGCCGAGGACGCTGTCTCTCATGGCACTCCAATTCGCCTCGCTGCCTCAAAGCTGAGTCTTGTAGTCGGAGCACACACAAGCGCGCACACACATGCATATACACACCGGCCTGGAGGATCTGCTTCCTTCTCTGCCTGGTTGCTGTACGATTCCGTCCCACCTCTCTGACCTGTGCAGGAGGGGCTTACATCACATCCCTCCCAGAAGGAGGCCTGTGGGCCACTTCCAAGTAGCCCTCTCTCCCCTCCACAGCCCCCCGCACCTCCGCCGAGCCACGGTGTTTGCCAATGGGTCCCTGCTGCTGACCCAGGTCCGGCCGCGCAATGCCGGGGTCTACCGCTGCATCGGCCAGGGGCAGAGGGGCCCGCCCGTCATGCTGGAGGCCACACTCCACCTGGCAGGTGGGTTTCTGGGTTGCGGGGGCTGCCTTTAATGTTGTCGGCACACACAAACTTAGGGTCCCGGTTCCACCCCGAAGGCAGCTTGGAGGGCAGAGGCAGGCAGAACATGCTTGGGAGGGAGAGGAAGGGTGTGCTGTCTCCCCTGCAGAGGGTGACGGGAGGCTGGAATGGACCTGGGCAGCTAAGGGAGAACCTCGTGTGTGCTGAGACCCCAGTAACTGGGCTGTTTCCTCTAACTCACATCCCTCCAGAGATTGAGGACTTGCCGCCATTTGAGCCCCGAGTGTTCACAGCTGGCAGCGAGGAGCGTGTGGCCTGCCCACCCCCCAAGGGTCTGCCAGAGCCCAGCGTGTGGTGGGAGCACGCAGGAGTCCGGCTGCCAGCCCATGGCAGGGTCTACCAGAAGGGCCATGAGCTGGTGTTTGCCAGTACTGCCGAGGGTGACGCTGGCGTCTACACCTGCCACGTGGCTAACCTGGCTGGTCAGCGGCGCCAGGATGTCAACATCACAGTGGCCAGTGAGTACCATTGCCCTAAGGTGGAAGCAGTGGAGGAGGGTCCCAAGAGGTCCTGGTCTCTGGCTGTGACGGCCAGAGGGTTCCCTGGTGGTCACCCAAGGCCCTCTCAGCCCTGGGCACTCCTTGCCAGGAGACGGAGCAGGTGGCAGAGAGCCAGGCACAGAGGCTGGAAACAGGAACAGCCCTCACTGGAAAGTGCTCTCCGGCTGCAGAGGGAAGAGCCGTGGGAGTGTAGAGACCAGCCCTGCTCTGTGCCCAGTGTACAGACTGGCCACGGAGGAGGGCAGGGGCCGTCACGCAGGATCTACGTGGAGCTAAAGTAGCCAGGGCTTGTGGAGAGTGAGTGTGACGGCGGTGGGGCAGGGCAGGGTGGTGCGGAGAGAAGGCCAGGCTGGCTTGCTGGCTGCCCTGATTGCCTGCAGAGTGGTATGATTTACTGAGGTAGGGCAGCTGGGCCGAGCAGGCTGACGGAGACCAGGAGCTCTGCTCTGCACAGTTCGAGATGCACATGCCAGGAGGTGTTGGGCTTGCAAGTCTGAAGCTCAGGAGGGGGTTGCTTGGGGGGGCGCCAGGTGTGGGACTCATGCATGCCAATGGTATTGGATGACGTGCCTGCAGGAGATTGCTGAGGGAGCGGGTGTGGCTAAAATGCAAGAGAGCTGGGGCCGGGCCAGGCCATGTTAGCGCGTAGTAGGGAGAACAAGGGCTTTGGAGTCATGCAGACCAGAGTTCCAGATCCTGTCTCGATCATGAATTAGCTGATCACCATTACTTCTTCCAACCCTGTTTTCTTCACTGTAAAACGGGGTGTAAGAGTGCATTCCCTGGGGTTATTATACTAGTAAGCAAGACATCGTGTTCAAAGCGGGCTGGTACCTAGGCCTTCACTTACGGGTAACTGCTGCAGTTAACCCCGGGCAGCCCGGGCGTTCCAAACTCAGGCCATATTCTAAATCCAAATGAGAATTTCTTGGAGCTGGGTCCTCTGGGTTTGGGGACCTGTTCATCGGCCCTCACTGTTTCCTCCCTGTGCCTCCAGCTGTGCCCACGTGGCTGAAGAAGCCCCAGGACAGCCAGCTAGAGGAGGGCAAGCCGGGCTACTTGCACTGCCTGACCCAGGCCACACCGAAACCCACCGTCGTGTGGTACAGGAACCAGATGCTCATCTCGGAGGTGAGCGGGAGGGCAGCTGTCGGGGTAGGCAGGGGGAGACCCCCCCCCCGCCCTCGTCTGTGCTCGCCTCCGTGGCTCCCTGTCCCAGGCTGGCCCTGGGGTTGCTGCGGTGGCTTCAGGCTCTGAGCTCTCTCACGGCTCGGTCTTGTGTGCCGCAGGACTCACGGTTCGAAGTGTCCAAGAACGGGACCTTGCGCATCAACAGCGTGGAGGTGTACGACGGCACATGGTACCGCTGTGTGAGCAGCACCGTGGCTGGCAGCATCGAGGCCCAGGCCCGAGTCCAAGTGCTGGGTGAGCCGGCGTGTACGGGGACTGCACCTTGCCGGAGAGCTGAGGGCCCAAGCCGTGGGCCTGGCACCGGCCCATCCAGCTACCTCAGCCACTTCCTCCTCTTTCTATCCACCCTCACCCTCTACCGAAACAGAAAAGCTCAAGTTCACGCCCCCACCCCAGCCGCAGCAGTGCATGGAGTTTGACAAGGAGGCCACAGTGCCCTGCTCAGCCACAGGCCGGGAGAAGCCCACTATTAAGTGGATACGGGCAGGTGGGTAGCATGGGGGCCGGTGTGGGCAGGGCCGCCCACTGCTCAGACGTGTGTGTGCCTGAGTGCCTGGCACCACGTCAGAAACGGCAGGGACAGACGGACGTAGGAAGATAAAGCCAGCACAGGAGGGGTGAGATTGGAGCAACCGACAGCAGGAGAGAGACTCGAGGCAGCAAGTGATTGGGCTGATCTGGATGGTGTTGTAAAGGCCTCCCTTCTCACTTTTCAAAGTAGGTCATCCTTTCCAACAGAAGAGTGATGTGGGGGGCTGGCAGGTGGCGTGGTGGTTGAGGAACTGGATTTCTACATGGCTGACCATGGTTCAAGTCCCAGACCTGGTGTCTTGCCCTCTCACTTTCCCTTTCTCTCTGTAGGGA